TCTCACTCTCACATCAAAATCCACCCACATATTTGTTTAGATCTGTTTTGGCTTTTACACTGTGCTTGCTCTGTGCATATTTCTCTCCTGATTCAGACAATATGACTTCTTCACTGGAGAAGGCAATGTTATGAATAGAGGACTTGTATTTTAGTGGGAAGCAACAATTTACAGTTAAAACCATGTTGATAGATTTGTTTCTCATAATCACAAGATGTTAACTGATGGTTTGTGTGGATTACTTGTGGATTATTGTGATGTTTTTATCAGCTGTTTGGACTCTCATTCTAACGGCACCCATTCACTGCAGAGGATCCATTGCTGAGCAAGTGATGCAATGCTACATTTCTCCAAATCTGATAAAGAAACAAACTCATCTACACCTTAAATGGCCTGAGGATGAGTAAATTCTCAGCAAACTTTCATTTTTGGGTGAACTGTTCCTTTAATGTAGATGTTAAAAATGTTGCAGTGATAAAAACTAGATTTTTACATTTTCTGAAGTGGTAGTTGCTTCATGGATGCTAGGTAGTCAAAGTAAAAAAAGATCAGACTCGTATTTTCAAATCGTAATTCATTATTACAAATCGTTCAAGATCAAATCGTAATTTCGATCATTTAGTAAAGCAACAACACAGCTCTCCTCTACAAGATGCATAATTTAAGGAATCATTCATGCCTGGAGCATCAGGTGTTTGTCAGTAGTAGCATGTAGTATTGTGTTCAAATATACGAGTGATAGGCTAGTAATACTGATTCTTTCCCTGGAATCGCACTACTAGCTTGTGTCAACTGATCAGTGTAAGCTGGCTGGATATTATCCAGACTCTTTGAAAATACATGAATGTGATGCTCAGACATAATGTCCGACCTCTTAGTGCAGCCACTCAAAAACACTCTCTGCTCCATTTCTATGTCCATTTATCCTAAAACATGTCATCATGTCAGTGTAAGTTACCATACTATTAGTCCTCAAGCAGTTAGTGCATTCCCTGTGTATATTTCCTTTTGATCTTGGGTATAAAGCTGGTTTTTTTTATCTGTAATTATTTGTGTTTTTAGGAGCTATTAAGCTTAAGTGATTGTTTCTATTTCCATTCGTCCAAAAGACAGTAATGAGCGAGGAGCTTTTTCATTTATGTGTGCTGGTGTAATTATTTCCAGTGACGTGAGAGATTTCTTTGAGCTCTAGCTTTGCTCTTATGTGTTAATGCTGCCTCAATGAATTTATTATGCGATTTAATCTCGCATTCATATTGCAAACATTTGCCAACTGTTTCATCTTTGCTTTGATTTTGCAAGCTGTGAAAACAGTGATTATGATTAATACAAAATCCCTACCTTTATATTAAAAAAAGCCATTTATGTGCTGATAAATTGGCTAAGTCCATAAACAATTACGTATCCATTTATCTGAATACATGAACTGGAAAGCTTGCGATTAAAGTCCAGCTGAAATATTAAAACAACATATCAGGGTACCATACTTAATAAGACAGCTAAATTACAAAGAACTCATTCTGACAGAGAGTATAGCCTATATTTGCTGCCACTATGACTGTTTAAGTTTATTGACTTTCATAATGCAAGACATGGCAATAAAATGTATTATTATTATTTACTTTTTCTCGTTTGATCTTGGGATGGTGATTATCTCTGGAGATTATCTCAGAGGTTTATTGTTCTTATCGTTGACCTGCTGTCAAAAGGTTCGGCATTACATATAACCAGGGCATAAAGACTTTGAGGATGTCTCATTGTTTTACATTAATTTGTATGAATAGATTCATGTTTGAAGTGCGATCTGTTGAGGTTGCTCGAGTCGACACGCCATCGATCGTCAACAGTTATTGGCGCCACTAGCTCAAATCAATGCACGCCATAATCTTAAATGTTTTCTACACAAAACTCGAAATTATTTTTGTGAAATATGTGTGATTTGTAAATATATAATAAGTGATAAGGCCTACTTAAGTTCTGTCGATGAATCGTTGGATAGTTCTAGCGGCAAACATTTCATTTGCTATGGTTACCGAAGGCGAGCGGAGTCGCAGACGTCATAAATTGACGAATGAAACGGAGGAGCGACTAATATGGCACACACTGTATAAAGGTCTATAATATAAATCATAGATTTTACAACTCACAACTTTCAAAACTGTTTATGGTGTTTTTGTCTACTGAAAGTTTTTTTTTTTTTACATTTTCTCTCATAAAGACGTTTCGTCAGCTGAACTATCCGTACATTAGTAAACGAGAAATGTTCAAGTCCACTGAACGCATGTACTTCTATCCCTCAGCCTCGTTTTCATTCCCGTCAGAAATTAAATATGGCGGTATCCTTACTAATGTTTATTGAAACACTTCGTAAACGCATCAGCTATTCCCTGATAGCACACATCACGGAGACGTCTATTTGACGTCTGCGAGGCGTATTTGCTCATCTGCAATACATCTACAGGACGTTTCCTATCAGATGTCAAAAAGACATTTAGAAATTGTCTTTCAGATGTTTATGATTTAGAATGCATGCAGTGGCGGCTCGTCGGGGGAGGCACAGCTTCCCCATAATTTTGAGGTGAAAATGGGAGGACGACGATTTAATGTTAATGAAATTCACAATTCATTTCCGTTCATGTCTCAGAATGTGTATTTTTTGTTTGTAAATTCACAGTTGTAATACCATAACGTGAAAGTGCCGCTTTTCTATCTCGAATGGGCCGAATCTGCTGATGTAATTGCAACCGCTAATGATAGAGAAGGGGATTTAAAAAATATTTGTATAGTAAATCCGCTAATTCACGAGATCAATACATCCTTTATTAGACCGCTTTGTCGATTTAAATGCATCTTTACGGAGGTGTCGTAATGCTGAATCAATTCATTCACTTCCAACAGCGCTTAATGGGAGCAGCGTCATAGAGGGCAGAGCGTCACGTTATTTAAAGGGGAAGTTAACGCGTTAACGAGTAGCAAATGATTAAGTAGCTGCATTGGTTACTTTTATGCCACTGAAAAAGCTTTTAAATGTAGTTTGGGGTAATAAACACCTGAACAAGCTAATCAAGGCCTGAAGGGTTACTAGGAAGCTACAGGCAGGTGAGTTTTAATTAGGGTTGGAGCTGAGCTCTGCAGGACTGCGGCTCTCCAGGACCGGAGTTCGCCACCCCTGTGATTTATGTGTAAATTATGTGCAATGTCTTAGCCACTAGGGATGGTTGTCATAGTAACGACACTATGCAACAATTTTGAATGTGACAAGCAACTGGTGTCTGAAAAGAATTATATATATATATAATTTGGGGGGGGGGGCAGTTAATTAAGCAATCGGCTTAATTAAATGGCGCAACAGGCAGCTCTCTTTTAATACAGACTTTTAAGAAGGGATGGATGTTTGCTTCAAGTGATAGGCCAGGTAAGTGAAATTATATTATCTTGCTGTATGTGTGTTGTTTTCTTTACGTTTTCTGACTAAAAGCAACCAAAAAGCCATTTTAAAGTGGTTAAGCAAATAATAATAATAATCGGCAGGGATCCCAGACCGATACAATTAGTGTGCCTCCTCTATTTTAAAACCCACAAGCCGCCACCGAATGCATGTAGCCTAAAACTGACATCTTAAAGATGTCTATCAGAGGTTTGTACACAGCAGATGCTTTCCAGATGAAGCGATCTTTAACAGACATCTTGCAGACGTACGTGTGCTATCTGGCATTATCAAATAATAAAACTGACTTGAAAAAATAGCGGAAGATATTTTGTGTCCATTATCGAGTGCACCTACCGTATAAAAGGTGGAAACTTCCCTTAATGTTGGTATTTATTGTTAGTCATATGCCCTTTTCTTCCCCCCTCAGATTAGGGAACTGTCCCTCTCACACCTACACCTGCATCCTTTTCCGTCATGCCACAGTGAACACTAAGATCATCCAAATACAGCAGGCTAAATACTCTTCAGTTATGTTTTGCATCCACCATTGATTTCAGTCTTTCTCATGATGATTATACGCCATCTACAGGTGTCAAATTGTGCTTACCGGCTTGCTGTCTAGTTTCTAAAGTTTTATAATATATTCTAAAATATTTAATGAGAATTAAAAAATAAATAAATAAACTAACTAAATAAATATTTAAGTTAAGCTTTAACTGGAAAATGTGTTTTTATAATGCATTGGTCAGAAATGACTCGTAAGTTTGGTTGAAGCCATTTTAATAAACACTTTCTGAGTTTTACAAATTGTTAGTTGGCACTGAAACATGGCACATGAAAACTGTAGATTTATATATAAAATTGATATTAATCAGAAAGGCCAGAGACATTTTATTTCCTCAATTCTATGTATTAGCTACGAATGAGAAACGCACAAGATAGCATATTTTCCCTCCAACTACAAAACTTAAAAAATAATAAAGTACATTTCTGTGAAAGAGACATTTTGCTAGTTAATGTAGATAAATTGGTTGACATTTAATCGTTCCTGCTGTTTACCTTTTTTATTCGAAGTCCAAAGCAAACTATAACTCTCTGTCGCCTTCTTCATAGACATATTGAAAATTGAAAATATTCAGATGCCAAATACATTTACAAAAATAAAAATTATGTAGCTACACTCTTAAAAATAAAGGTGCTTCACGATGCCATAGAAGAACCTTTTTGTCTAAATGGTTCCATAAAGAACCTTTAACATCTGAAGAACCTTTCTGTTTCACAAAAGGTTCTTTGTGGCGAAAGAAGGTTCTTCAGATTACAAAAAGGTAAGAAAGAGATGGTTCTTTAAAGAACCTTTGACTGAATGGCTCTTTGTGGAACCAAAAATGGTTCTTCTATGGCATCGCTGTGAAGAACCTTTTGAAGCACCTTTATTTTTAAGAGTGTAGACTTTTAGATTGTATTTAACACCAAAGTTGTAAAAAAAAAAAAAAAAAAAAAGTTATGCATATATTTTACATGTTTTTGTTGTTGTTGTTTTTTTTAGGAATTGTTTAACAAAGAAATAGCTTTTGTATGATCTTGAAGTCTTGCGTCTTCATGCAGAAGATGTGGCTCTTAAATCTTTTTCTTCTCAAATAAATCTTTCCAGGTGGGTACTATCTTGGAATAGACTTTTTCAATCTGGAAACAGTTTTCAGAAAAGTTACTGAAAAGTTCTTGACTATCAGTGTTTTCCAGAATTTTAATATGAGAGTTTAATATTGACACTTTCATCCTAGTTAGACAGGTTGGTGTCAATGTCAAATTAAATGCATATTTTGTGTACAAACTGTCTTACCTGCTCTGACTTTTTAACCCCGTATCGTAACATTGTGGCCTGATGTTCGCTGTTGTTGAACAAGATGTCAAAGGTGATGGGTTTCGTCATGATGTCATCGATCTCTGGCTTGATGAGAACGTAGAAATCTCTTGGTGGATGCTTGTCATCCAAGTAGTTTCTTACCTTGTATTTCTTCCCGACTACGTCAATCGGGTCTAGCTTTACAGAGGCGTTTATAGCCCGGCCGAAAAGAAGGAGTTTGGTGTCTGAATCTTGAAAAGAGATGTAATGAGGACAGTCATAAGATTTCATTTGCTGGCTCAGGTCATCCAAGATGTAGATGAGTTTATTTCTTCATCAGATTTGGAGAAATGTAGCATTGCATCACTTGCTCAGCAGTGGATCCTCTGCAGTGAATGGGTGCCGTCAGAATGAGAGTCCAAACAGCTGATAAAAACATCACAATAATGCACAAGTAATCCACACCACTCCAGTCCATCAGTTAACGTCTTGTAAAGTGAAAAGCTGAGTGTTTGTAAGAAACAAATCCATCATTATTTTAATTTTTTTAAACTTCAAATCGTTGCTTCTGTCTAAAATACAAGTCCTCTATCCATAAAATTTTCTCCAGTGAAAAAGTTGTCTTGTCTGAATCAGGAGAGAAATATGCACAGATCAAGCACCTTTTATAATCAAAACCAGTCCAAAACAGCTCTAAACAAATATGTTGGTGGATTTTGATGTGAGATGACTTTTCCACTGGAAGCATTATTATGGATTATTGACTCATATTTTGACCGAAAGCAATGGTTTAAAGTTAAAACGTCTTAATGATGGATTTGTTTCTTACAAACACTCAGCTTTTGGCTTCTCAAGACGTTAACTGATGGACTGGAGTGGTGTGGATTACTTGTGGATTATTGTGATGTTTTTATCAGCTGTTTGGACTCTCATTCTGACGGCACCCATTCACTGCAGAGCATCCATTGGCGAGCAATGCTACATTTCTCCAAATGTTCTGATAAAAAAACATCTCATCTATATCTTGGATGGCCTGAAGGTGAATACAATTTTCATTTTTAATGAACTATTCTTTTAAAAGATCACACAGACTCACCTCTCATGGTCAAATGGGCCACATAAGGAACTCCGTCTCTTTCACCATAGTAAACGGCAAAATGAGAAAAGTAACTGTTGCCAGGAAACTCAAGTATATCTCCGGGGTACAGCTTCGGATGAGAGTTACGCTGAATGAAAACAAAACAAAACTGTTTAAAAGATATCATGAAAATAGATTTTAAAAGCATGATCACATCAGAACAAAAACTATGCTTACCAGTCCCATTGATGTCCACTGTGCTATCGATGCCTTTACTGTAAAGAATGCTGGAGACGTACAGCGAGTGCTTCATTAAAGAGCACTGAAGCATTAATCACATCTGATATCACAAATGTCAAGGGGCAGATTTATGGGGGAATCCTATAAGATTATCAGATACAAGAACAGTGAACTAGTGTGCTAAAGTATGATTGTCTCTAAAAGCACACACCCAGGAACTACCCTTCAGTGCCTCGAGAAAACACATTCAAATAAAGCCCTTTGTTATTGCTATTTTGTGAGTGTGTGATGCTGGATATTAATATTTGTATGTCTGAGTGAGCAATTGGAATTCAATCAGTTGCACCTGGAATTTCAGTGCTTTTTATTTATATGATGTCAATAAGTTTAGAAAGGGACTTCTCAGGTTCACTGATGCAACCGATTCGCAAGAGAGAGTTAAATAATAATAACTTCCCTTTTTATCAGGAAACATCTGCTCATACACTTTAAGCAAATAAATCCAAAATGTAAAGAGCTGATAAATGCCTCACGCTCATGGTGCTCATAAGCTTCAAACTTTTCATGCGGTGTCGCCTTGTGGTTAAAGAAACCGAAACGTTCAAACAACGTTCAAACCCTGTAACAGGTGACCATGAAACTATCATCAAATGGCAAATTACTGAAGCAGATTTCTAAAGAAATGAGGGGTTATGTGGTTGTGGTGTGTTGAGTTGTGTTGTGTTATTCAGGGTGGATTTCAGCACAGCTTAAGGATTCCATAAAGTGTCGTTCATGTTTGTGAGTAATTTAGATCAGTACTCCATTATCACAAGTCTTTGCTCTAGTAATAATAATGCTAGAAAACAGCACTAATGACAGTAGTAACTTGTCGTTCAGGGTACAAAAGGTGTCACTAGGGCAGTACCTTTTCAAAAGGTACAATTTTGTGTACACTAATATGTACACTTTAGTTAGGTACAAAGGGGTGTGCCTTTTGAAAAGGTACCACCCCAGTGACAACTTTTGTACCTTTTTTTCTGAGAGTGCAGACAGATCCTAATAGGAAACGTGTTTGGAAACAATGGCTATTTTCAGAATGGATTACATACGTACTTGTACTACTCCAGATATCGCTTGGTTCCTCTAGAGGCCCATCATTACACTCTTCACTATTAAATGTGATTCAAACAAACCGGATTTTTCCATTAGACATAAAAACTACTTTTCTAAATGTCAAAACTTCACAAAACATCATACCAGTGTTATTTTTGTGTCACTGAGATTCTTTTATCATTTTTATTAATAGTTTGAATTAGTTTCCATTTGTATATTTTCTGTTTTCATTTTATTGTTAAAGTTTTAGTCATTTTGTTGTGCGTTTTTTGTTTATTTATTTTTGTTATAAATATATCTATGTAGTTTTTATTTTTATTCCAGTTTCATTATTACAAGAAAATAAGAAATGTTGTTTTTTTTTGGCAGCTAAAATCAAATAAATTGAAGTTTAGTTTTAGTTAATACTATACATTAAATGTTCATGCCTTCATCTTGTGTCTTAATGCATGATGCAAAAAAACTTGAAGGCAATCACATTTATTGGTATCATATTTAATCATATTAATTAGGTGGATTTGTATTCATTTTTCTACAGAAATGAAACGTTGCAGGTGTTTCTTTATATTTCCCCTTTCTATAACAGTAATATTTAAATCATTTCTGTTAAAGAAAGGAACAAACTTTTTGTGAATTTGAACTCAATTTATAGTTCCAGTTTCTTTAATATCACTTTCCATCCTTTTGTCTTTTGTACATTTTCTTCATCTTTAATGACATCATCCTCCAGGAAGTGGCATCATTTTGAAGGAAAAACCTCAGCGAGTATTGAATTCTGGGGGAGTGAATGTAAAATGATTAAAAAACTAAAGTATTGAATTCTGGGAGTCTTTATATAACACCTGGCTACACTCTAAAAAATGCTGGGTTGTTTCAACCCAACTTTGGGTCAAATATGGACTAACCCACCCGTTGGGTTACATTTCAGACCAACATAAATGATTTGAGTTATCGATCCCACAAGTCAAGTCAACTTTACTTATATAGCGATTTATACAATACCGATTGAGTCAAAGCAGCTTCACAGTGTCAAACAGGAAAATAGTTTGTCAATAATGCAAGAAGATAATAACAAAGAGTCATTTTTCCAGCTAAAGTCAGTTGATTGATGATTCAGTGATGTCATCATCCAGTTCAGATCTCTTCCGAGAGTGTCTGTGCAATCAGTCAAGCGTCCCCAACTAAGACAGTGGCAACGAACCAAAACTCCACATCATAATTCACATCAGTCAAATTTAATGGTACTTTTCCCCAAATTATTTACTTAATTTACCTGCATGCATAAACTTGACCATAATGGTATGACTGTTTTATTTTCTACAAATTTCTTGCTAAAAGTTATGGAAGCTTATTTCTGCCACAGAATAAAAAATAAAAATGGTAATTGCAATTTTTAAATCTCACGTTTCGTTTGAGATCTGGATGTCTTTAGCACTTTCTTGTGCATGAAGTCAGTAAAACATTAATCTCATCATGTCCTGCTCTTATGTTTGCTAAGCTTTCATCCAACACATCCAAAGCCCCAGAGTAAACACCAACAGGGTTAAAGCAGAACATTTGCATTTCAGGTGTGTGTCTGCTGACTTTAAACATGGTGCCAATGTCAAATGGATAGACAATAAAAAGTAGAATAAAATAAAATTAAAAATGAACTTTTCCACGACATTCTAATTTATTGAGATGCACCTCTATATAATAATAATAATTTTTCCTTGAAAAACATGTTCAGGAGAACATCAGGCTGACTGCTTGTTTTGCTACTTTTTTTTTATTAATCAAAAATGTTTTTTTTTTTTTTAGAAATGTAATCTTTGCGTTTAAATAAAAATGTCTGACAATGAAGAATATTTTCATGAATGTGTCCAAATGTTTCACATTTTGTATGTGTGTGTGTGCGCGTGTGTGTGTATAGTCATTCTAATAAATAAATAAAAATGTTTGACTCACCCTCATGTCATTCCAAATCTTTCTTTCTTCAATTAAAAAAAATGTAATAATTGTTTAGTAATTTGCATGCATGACAACTGAGAATATATATATATATACAGTGGGGGAAAAAAGTATTTAGTCAGCCACCAATTGTGCAAGTTCTCCCACTTAAAAAGATGAGAGAGGCCTGTAATTTTCATCATAGGTATACCTCAACTATGAGAGACAAAATGAGAAGAAAAAAAAATCCAGAAAATCACATTGTAGGATTTTTAAAGAATTTATTTGCAAATTATGGTGGAAAATAAGTATTTGGTCAATAACAAAATTTAATCTCAATACTTTGTTATATACCCTTTGTTGGCAATGACAGAGGTCAAACGTTTTCTGTAAGTCTTCACAAGGTTGTCACACACTGTTGCTGGTATTTTGGCCCATTCCTCCATGCAGGTCTCCTCTAGAGCAGTAATGTTTTGGGGCTGTCGCTGGGCAACACGGATTTTCAACTCCCTCCAAAGATGTTCTATGGGGTTGAGATCGCATCCACCTAGATAAACCTCAGGCTGCAGACTTCCACACTCTGCTTGCTTCTTTTGATCTCAAGTGAGTATTAACTGCGGCTACTCACAAATCAGGCAACCAACTGGACCTTATTTACACACGACACTGCTCCACTGATCATGTGCTGGTTACTCCACTGCACACCTCGGATCACTTCCTCCTCAACATGGTTCATGACACAACACATACCCCTACACATGTCATCTTTCGACGTAACCCACGCTCACTCTCCCGGCTATCTGCTATGGATTCAACTTCGCTTCATCCCCTTAAACAGTTATCATCTCTTGATGCTAACAGTGCTACTGATACTTTCTGCTCCACTCTTACATCTTGTTTAGACACTGTCTGCCCCTTGTCTTCCAGACCAGCCTGTACCACCTCTTCTGCTCCTTGGCTATCTGATGTTCTCTGCGAACATCGTTCGAAGCTCAGGGCTGCTGAAAGGGTGTGGCGCAAATCCAATAATTCTACTGACCTTAATGTGTATCAGTCACTCCTCTCTTTCTTCTTCGCTGATGTCTCCACTGCTAAAATGACATACTATCATAACAAAATTAACAATTCCTCTAATTTCTCGCATGCTCTTTAAAAAATGTTCCTCTTCCCCCTCCTTCATCAACTCTAACAGGTGACGACGTTCCCTCATACTTGATCAATAAAATTAAAACCAACAGTGCACAATTTTCCACACCACAATCTGTCAAGCACATCTTACCAGCAAACATACACTCGTTCACATCCTTCTCTCCACTCTCTCAGGAAGAAGTCTTCAAACTCTCAAATCTTCAAACTTCAAACTCTAATCATCCTACTACTTGTCCACTTGATCCTATTCCATCTCATCTCCTTCAAGCCATTTCTCCTGCCGTTGTACCTGCACTGGTGTTTTTCCCTCAGCATTTAGACAGGCTCGTATAACCCCTCTACTTAAGAAACCCACCCTTAACCCATCTCTTTTAGAGA